TAGCCAGATTTGTAAGGTAGAATTCGGATCATGATAGCAGAGGAGAGGATGCACTTAAGAATTAGAGGAAAGTTTTATGTTTTATTGTTGCTATACTGCACGCTGACTGGCTCGTCTCCTTCCCACAACCCTTCTGTAAGGGGGTGTCCCGTTACCTACAGATGGGCTTTGCGTCTCCACTCTGCACTCTCCCTCATTTACAATAATATGATTTTTTGTTCTTTGATGCCTGATACCTGATCCCTTCGACACCTTGCAGTCACAGTCTGGTGTGCTTCTTCTATGTGGGCTTTGTTGCTTCTGAGCTAGATGGCTGCTTGTTTACCTACAAGCCTTTAAGACTCCTGGTGCTATATCTTTTGATAGCAGGGCACCATCAGCTTTCTTTACCACATTTGCTTATGCACACATTTGTCTTCAGTGATCACATGGGGAACGTGGGCACACAATGTTATTTTTTTGTTCTTTGATACCTGATACCTGGTCCCTTCTACACCTCATGGTCACACAGGCTGGTGTGCTTCTTCCAGGTGGGCTTTGTTGCTTCTGAGCTAGATGGCTGCTTGTTTATCTGCAAGCCATTAAGACCCCAGGCACTATATCTTTTGATAGCAGGGCACCATCAGTTTTCATCACCACATTTGCTTATGCACACATTTGTCTTCAGCGATCATGTCGGGAAGGTGGTTCAGCACATTTTTTATGCTAAAGCCCCCCACTTTTTGTGGTAAAATGAGGTGCCTTGGCTTATACTCGAATATATATATGGTATTTCCCTAGGTCAAATAAACATTCTTTCATGATTAATTATCCCTCTCCAAGCTAATCAGACCATCTTTTAAAGAATACTTTCAAAGTTATATTCTCATATACTCCATTGATCACTCAATTATTCAAGAATCTTAATAACCTTCAAAACATTGAGATTTAAGGGTTGGTAACTCTGTTGGATTCTTTCCAGTTGGACAACACTATGCCCATTTACCCAGCTACAATCTGGGAGTGTCAGGAAATTCCTAAGCCCTCCCCTTTGACATTATTAGCTACGAACAGGTTCGGACAGTCCAGGCTTCTCAGCAGGCTGGAGCATATAACAAGGTCCTAAAACTTTATAGCATACTTACACCTCATTACTCAAACTGGCAAACTGGGGTGAGGGGAAGAAGAGAGATTGTAAATGAGATATTAAAACCCAAATTAGTTAGGAGATATAAACTGTTATTACAATAAT